TTTCTTGTATACAACATATTGTTGGATTTTGCTTCTTATTCCATTTTGCCAGTCTATTTCTCTTGATTGGTGAAATGAGGCCATTGACATTGATGGTTATAATTGATTTGTACTGACTTATTATTGTCATATTATTGGCCTTTTGTTGACTCTTTTTACTTTTTCACCTCCTTCTTTTAGTTTCTTGCCTTGCCTATTTGATTTGCTCTGTTGGGCCTCATGGTGTTGTTGCCTTCATTGTCTTTTTCTAGGATCTTGTTTAGAATTGCTTGTAGTGCTGGTTTGGTATTCATGTAGTTTCTCAGGTGTTCTTTGTCGTGGAAGTGTCTTATTTCCCCATCCATTTTGAAAGAGAGTTTTGCAGGATATATCAGTCTAGGTTGGAGGTTGTTCTCTTTTAGTACTTGAAATGTCTCACTCCAGGCTTTCCTTGCCCTTAGAGTTTCTGCTGAAAAGTCTGCTGTGATTCTGATGGGCTTTCCTTTGCATGTGATTTGTTTCTTTTCTCTTACTGCTTGTAGTATTTTGTTCTTCTGTTGGATTTCTAGGATCTTGATTATTATATGTCTAGGTGTAGATTTTTTTTTTTTATTGTAGCTAGTTGGGGTCCTATATGCCTCAGTTATCTGAATGTCAAATTCTTCCCCTCTGTTTGGGAAGTTTTCTGTCATTAATTCTGCAAACAGCTTTTTAAAGTCATTGTATTTTCTCCTGCTACTTCATGGATTCCCCTCAGTCTTATGTTATTGTTCTTTGCATCATCTAGGAGTTGTTGGATCGATTTCTCATGATCTCTTACTGTTTTTAAGAGACCTCTCTTTTCATGGTCACTGACTGCAATCTTATCTTCTATATCTGAGATCCTATCTTCGCATTCTTTTATTCTGTTGAGTACGCTTTCAATAGAGTGTTTAATCTCCTGGATATCTGTTTCAATCTGTTTTATGGATTCCATTTCTTTCCTATGTTGGGCATTTATTTTTTCCATTTCTTTCTTATGCTGGGCCTTCATGGCTTCTGTCATGGTCCTGAGCTCATCTATTTTTTTGTCAGTTTCTGCTCTAGAGTCTCTAATCACGAATTTCATTTTGCTCACCATCCCTATGGTTATCTGGGAAATTATTTCTGTTTTGAATTTTTCTAGAGCCCGATTGTTCTGTTTTGTTACTTCCTGTGCTTTGAGTTCAGGTTGTTCTGGTGGTTCACTATCGGCCTTTTCATCCTCATTTGCCCTACTGTTTTCCATTGGTGAACTCGAAGTCTGTCTTTCTATCTTGCTTAAGTGTTTTCTCATTTTTATTTTTGTTGTCAGGCTGTCCTTGGTTTAATCTCTGGGTTATCACCCAAATCTTCCTGATATAGTTGCGCCCAAGCTTCTGGGTCTTTAAGGACCCACAGACATTCTCATCTTCATAATATCAGAGAAAACAGCTCATCAAATCAACCACAATCCTTTATCCCAACTGATACAATCAGCAACACATTATGATCAAGCACAACTTGGAACTGACCACCTGTGGTAGTCACTAGTCTATCACCCTTAAACCATTTGAATTAAATTGAAATCAAGAAGCAGTCCAAAACATGTTTGCAGTGAACAAACTTTTCAGTATAGTATATTTACTGTTTAGGATGGGGGCTCAGACAGAGCTAGGACGCAAGACCCCTGATCTCAGTTAGCTGATGGCTGAACCCCATGACGTAGACTGACCTCGGACTGCAAGGCCCAGATTGAGTTCCCCAACCTTCTGAACAGTTGAACTCCACACCATTCTACAGGTTTCCCACACCCTTTCTTTAAAGATGTTCAAAGTTGGGAACTCAGAAAAATACCCTTTATGACCACCTCTGCCTCTGCAGAGTGGGTCCAAA